TCTACGCGCAGGACGCGCTTGGCCAGGAGCGCGAGAAGGCTTCTGACAGCGCGCGCATGCGCGAAGGCTTAAAAGAGCGGGATTTCCCCATTGTGTTTCTGGGCGTCGCCACCAGCGCTGTCGCGCCCAACCACCTCGAGCCCCATCGAGAAGTGGGCCGACGCGGCCGTCGCGGGTGGCACCCATATGGGCGCCGAGATCGTCGAGCGGGGACACGACGCCTGCGGCGGTGAGCGCAGGCGTTGCCCTGTGCCAGACACCCTGGCGCGCCGCCATGGAGTTGGCGCGGCCTGCGAAGAGGGCCATGAAGTCGCAATGCCATCTTCCCCCCTCGCCCCACGCCACGACGGCAGGCGAAGATGGCATCGGTCCGTTACGTCCCTGGGCCCCGCCCTTTCCCGCCTGGCCCGAGGCGGCCCTGCCGCGCGCGCCCGCGAAGATGATCGCGCGGGCGTTCGTTGGAGGCGTGCATCAAGCACTGCGCGCTGCACTCTGGGCGCTCCTCTAGTCCATCCCGATTGGATGCCGGGCCCAGGCGCTGAGCGCGGCGCGGCGACCTAGCCCACGGGGCGACGGTCAATGTCAAGACCCACCAAAACGTTCCAGCCACCTCTCACTCGGAGGGCCAGAGGCCGATCGCCCTGAATGCGCGGGCAGATGAAGCGGCGAAGGCAGCGGTCACCAGGTGACCCAAACATCCCCAGGAAAAGGTTCGCCTCGAGGACGTCTGCGCGGAGGCGCGGCGTGGTCATGAGTTTGGGGCTCGCGCTGGCTTATGGGCCTGCTCCCGCAGCTGAGTGGCCAACTTGTCGCCGCACAAGAGGCCACCCACGGCGCGGTCGCCGTGCGTGCTGCAGCACGGTCTGCGCGAGGTGGCCGAAGGCCGCTGGCGGCGCACTCAGTGCGTGCGTGGTTTCCTCAGCTGGGAGGCTGGGATGTCCTCAGAGCGCGGGCGCCCAAAACCTGACGTGGACTGCGCGAGCTCGCAGACGCACATGTCTTGCTGGGTGCGGCATCCAGCCCTCAGGGCACGCCGCCAAAGCAGGGTGATTTCGTAACGCGCGCTCAGCTGCAGCCGCGCGGGTTGTCACATGCGCGCCCAGCCCGGCGCCCAGGTTTTGTTTTGGACCAGATGGGCAAGGAACGGCGCGGTCGTTTCGACGGCGGCCTCCACCCCGCATCGGGAGGAAGCAGGTGGTGCTGGAGAACTTGGCTCTCCGCGATGTGGGTCCCCTCACTCACGAGAGCGCGAGGACACTGCGCAGTGCACCTCTGCAGTTGGCTTGTCCGACGCCCGCAGGCGGGGGACGAAAAATGCTGCCCAACGTCGGAAGCCCCAGGATGCACCAGAAAGCTGGCACTGGCCTCCTCCGTGTGCCTTGCCCCTGTCGTCGTCATCGCAGTCTTCCCACGAAGCGATTCGGGATGAAAAGCCGGCCCTGGGGGAAAGGGTCGGGGCTGACAGGGACCGCAGACGGCAGAAGTCAGGACATCGCATGTCACGGGTTGGGAACGGCAGTATTCCCGTCGGGGCCCAAAAGCGCCCCCCGGACCCCGCCCAGGGCCCATCCCGATTTGTTTTCCCGGATGCAGCCAGCCGTGGCGACGAGAAGCTTTTCAGGGCGGCCCAAAATGAACGAAGAGACGCCAGGGGGGTCGCCGCTGTCGCGAGTGGCCCCCTTTTTCCGAGAGGACGGGGAAAAGGAGGAGGAGGAGGCGGAGGAGGAGGAGGACGAGGACGAGGACGAGGACGAGGACGAGGACGAGGACGAGGAGGAGGGAGAGGACGAGGAAAAGGAGGAGGAGGAGGAGGTGGGGGAGGAGGAGGAGCATGAGGAGGGGAAGGGAGGAGGAGGGAGGAGGGAGGAAGGAGGAGGAGGAAGAGGAGGAAGAGGAGGAACAGGAGGACGAGGAGGAGGACAAGGACGAGAAGGGAGGTTCGCCCCCTGAAGGACGGAACGTGCCAGAGCCGTCTTCAGAAACACATTCAAGGGTTACGCAATTCCGCCGACCCCCAGAAGAGGGAAGAAGTTCAGGGATAGGCCTTTGGGGGTTTCTTGGGGATCATCTCGGGACCTCTTTTTGGCCTCCTGGGGGTTTCTTCGGACCTCTTCGGAGTTGTTTGGGCGCTTGCTGGCGATCTCGGGGATACTGTTGGGGCGGAAGGCTCGGAATGTCAGTTCGAATTGCTTCTCTTTGGCCCCTCTTGGGGCCCTGTTGGGGCCTTATTGGGGGCCTCTTGGTTCGTCTTGGGACCCTCCCCGGCCTTCTTGGGGACCTCTCAGCCCTCTTGGACGCTGTTAGCACCAAAAACGCGAACATGCTAGAACATACGCTTCACTTATGGATGTTGACGATTCTCGCTTCCTGGGGCCCTCTCGGGGGTCGTCTTGGAGCCCTCTTGGGGCGTCTTTGAAGCCTCTTGGGCAGTCTTGAGGCCATCGCGGTCGTCTGTGAGCACTCCGCGGCGTGTTCGAGCCCAGTTTGAGCCAGCTTAAAAGCCACCTTGGGCATGCCATGGAGCGTAGGCTTGGAGGCTCCAGAGGCCCCAGGGGTGCGTTGATGAGCTCCCAGTGCCCCCCCTCTCTAGTGCAATGTTGGACCCCTGGGGAGGAGGACAGGGTGTAGACAGCCAAGTGTCTCACACGCCGTTTCACCCCTAATAAGCGGGGGTCCCGGATTCCTGCACCAGACGAGAACATTCAGAGACCACAAAAGAAAAGAAAGGAGGCAGCGGGCGGCCAAGCCCAGCGTTGGAGGAGAAGGAGTGAAGATGAGGAGGAGGAGGAAGAGGCGGAGGAGGCCGGGCAGGAGGAGGAGGAGGAGGAGGAGGGAGGAGGAGGGAGGAGGAAGGAGGGAGGAGGGAGGAGGCAGAAGGGAAGAGGGAGGAAGGACCAGTGTAAACCCAAGAGCCATCAACGATATTGGAATAAACCATCCCTCCAGGCTTCCTCTTCATAGGCGCCTGCAAGGATTCATGTCCACTGAGGGAACTGCCGACTGTTGCGTTTTGACGATCCTCACCCGTGCCAGAACGCCATTCCTTGGACTCAACACAGCGAATCAACGTAACTGTTGCACCCTCATAATCCTGAATTGGTTCAAAACACTATGTCCGGTACGTTGACCGTGGGAATCCGAGACGCGTCTGCAGTTTTCGAAAAAGAGTGTGCGCGGCGCTAAGGCGAGAGCCACATTGTGAAAAGGAGCCACCCTCAGTCCGTAAAGTTTTTGCAAATTGTTTAAACGTATCTGCGCGGCGCTAATGCGAGAGCCACATGTTGAAAACTCATCTTGGCACTTTTGCAGGAGAAGTGCCGGGAGTACGGCATGGACGTATGCATTGCAGCAGTGGGTTTCGAAAAAGCGCTCGATTCCGTATCGCACGACGCTTCGGGAGGCCCTTCGCGCACAACACGTTATTGAGCGATACGTTCGAGTACTGGCGGATCTGTACACGGGGCAGACGGCCCAGGTATGCTGCAACTGCAGCAGCCGAGTGTATTTCTTCGAACGAGGGACGCGACAAGTTGACCCCTGAAGCCCAGTTCTGTCCAATGCTTTGCTTGAGGACATCATGCGAGATCTCAAGCAGAAGTGTCGCAAGACGGGGCGTGGCCTTCGCATCGATGGTGCATATCTGACAAATCTTCGGTTTGCTGACGACGTATTGTCGGTGGGCTCACAAAGGGCACACGGCACATGCGTCGTGACCTGCAGGCAGAGGCTGGCGCGCATGGTCTGGACCTCCACGCGTGCAAAACAAAGATTCTGTCGAACGTTGAAGTCAGGAGGGGGGTCCTTTTGCAAAGCGGTGTTCAACAAATGGGCGAAGACTTCACTGATGTGTTGCATTACGGTGGGGACATCATGTACCTTGGTAGGTTGGTATCCTTGTCTGACACTCGCGGAGCCGAACTGCAACATCGAATCTTTCGAGGCTGGGCAACATGTGGCAATTACAAGCACGAGCTGACGAACCATCACTGCCCCATGAGATATTGGATGCGTCTATTCAGTGCAGTGGTCACGCCGGCCGTCCTTTACGGAAGTGGATGTTGGACCATGACGGCGGAGGGAGTTCATTTGTTCCAGATTGCAGAGAAAACGATAATGCGGAATATCATTACGACGCAGAGGATGCACCATGAGCTGGCGGACATGAGCATCGAAACAAAACGTTACATCGATTGGATGGTGCGCGCGACGCATCGGGTAGATATTCTGTTCTGGCGAACGGGACACTTGAGTTGGGCGGGCCACCAAGAGAGCCGAAAGTTGGCACTGGCAGAGACGACGGTCAATCGCACGGTTGGGCGCTGGTCGACAAAATTGTCGTGCTGGATTTCTACGGGCGCCCGATTACACGGCCACCCTTGCAAGCGCTACGCGGACTGCTGGCCATTCTTCGCCTCCCCTACTCTGCCGCACCGTGCGGCCACAGTTTCGCAGCGCAGCTGCGATGGCTGCCTAGCTTCTCTTCTGTGCCTCCCTCCTTCCTCCCTCCCCCTCTCCCTCGTCGTTTCGTCTTCCCCTGCCCCCCTCGTTCCGCCCTCCCTGTCGTTGTCGTGTCGTTTCGTCGTCGTCGTCGTCGTCATCATGAACAGTTTTGCAGTTGTTCGCCATATTTGTTTCACGTTGCACGTGCCATTTGGAATTTCCAGGCGCCCACGTCAGATCAATTTGGCGCCAGGGGCCCAGCCCAGAGAGGTCGATCAGCATGCGTCGTGTCGCTTCTGCTCGCGCCCGTTTCACGCGTGTCGCTCAGCGAGCCCGACCGCCCTCCAGGGGCCCGGGCGAAGGTGAAACGCCCGGGCCCGCCCTTCACACAAGTCTGGCGTGCGAGGGGGAGGAGTTATCTACAAGGGGAAGGGATGGAAAGAGAAGGGAGGAGGAGGAGGAGGAGGAGGAGAGGGAGGAAGAGGAGGAGGAGGAGGAGGAGGAGGAGGAGGACAAGGAGGAGGAGGAGGAGGAGGCGGATGCGGAGGAGGATTGGGCAGGTTCGTGTTCCAGACGTCCTCGCAGCCTCCGACCTTCCTGCTGGGGGTCGAGCCGCTCGCGCCGCAGGACTCCGCGTCCTGGAAGGCCGCCTCGGGCCGCGCCCCTTCGCGTGTCTCCGGGGCCTTGGGCGCGGCCGCCCCAGCCATGCACCGCTCGAGCGCCTCCAAGCGGCGTGGTGACCACATCGCGTGGTGGGTCAGCGGGGACCCGGGGTCACCGCACGGCTCTGGGACTCGGGTCGTTTCTCCGAGGGCGATTCGGGCCTCCGAGGTCCCGAGGCCGTGCGGTGACGGACGTGGCGGTGAGGTCTTTGGGGGTTCCGAGGTGACCATGCGGCCCGTCACCACCGGCTCACACCAGATGCGTCTCTCTCGGAGCTTAATTCACGGGGGTCAATGCAAACGGAGGTCAGCCTGGGCACCGGATCCTGCAGGATCCTGCGAAGGCTCCCTCTGGCTGACCTGGGTTAGCGAGCCGCTCGTGGCCTCGAGGCAGCCGCGCATATTGGCTGACCCAGGTTTGCGAAGCCTTGCGTTGCAGCTCCTTTGTCCTGCATTGCAGTTGTTTGGTTTGCTGCGGACCCGGGTCTGATTGGCCCAGGCTAGCAGTTAGCAAAGCCGAGATGTTCCGTCACTCACAGTTGTCGTTCCGACCACTATGTTCGCCACACACCAAACCACCCCAACCCAACCCGAAGGCTTCAATTTGCCCTCCATTTCCAGTGCGGGGGAATCGGGGAACAACGAAAAGACACATGGTCCCCGTACCCCCCCCAACCCGAAATTCGGGTCAAATTCGTGTCTTCGGGTTAGGTTGGGGTGGTCTGGTAGGTAGTCATAGGTGGGATGGCCCGTGACCTCGTAGCCCTGGGCGCGGCCGCCCCAGACATGCTGCATCCCGGGACACATAAAACAGCGCAGGCTCTTCTCCATTTTCGGCCTCCGGGTGCCCTCACTGGGCCCTGAAGCCGTCTAAAAACGACTCGGGGTGAAAGACTGGCCCTGGGGCAATGGTCGTTTCCGTTATTTTCATCGTTTTCGTCGGCTTCATCGTTTTCGTCTTCTTCTTCCGTCATACGTTCTCCGTCGTCGTCGTCGTCGTCGTCGTCGTCGTCGTCGTCGTCATCGTCATCGTCGGCGTCGGCGTCGGCGTCGGCGACGTCGACGTCGACGTCGATCGACGTCGTCGGCGGTGTCGCCCAGGGGCCCCAACACGGTGCCCACGGGCAACGTTCGGGGGGGGGACGGGGTCAGGGGGGGAGGCGCATCGATCATCCGACCCCCAGGCGCCCATTCATCACCGACAGGGGCTCGAGTTAGCCCACTCCTCCTCCTTCTCCTCCTCCTCCTCCTCCTCCAACTCCTCCTCCAACTCCTCCTCCTCCAATTCCTCCTCCTCCTCCTCCTCCTGCGTCCAGGAACGCTTTTGCTTTCCGGGGCCTATCGCCGATCGATCGGCGATGTAGCAATTGCCGAGTTCAGCTCGACGCTTCCCCCCCTGAGCCGGTCCCCCCTAATTTTCCCCTTAGGGTGCGTCGGCCGCCCCGTCGGGTGAGTTTGGTGGGGATTCGGGGTCACGGCACGGTTTTGAGACTCGGGTCCTTCTCGAAGATTCCCTTGGGTCGCTTTGGCGCCTCCTTAGGCCGTCTGCATTGCAGTATGCTCGCGAACACCAGGTGGCAAAGTTTGGAGGACGACGACGGCGAGGATACGAGCACACAATGGGGAACGAACGACGAGACGACAGGGGAGAGGGCACCTACATAGGGGGTCTACACTCCTCGTTTGCCTCGCCTCCCGAGGATGTCTCGGGCGACTGGGGCCTCCAGTGTACCCAACTGTGCTGTGACCGTTGACCGACCGTGCGACGAGGTCTCTCGGGATCAGCTCCTCGTCGGTGGGGTGGGAAAGACGGGAGGTGGAAGAGGACCTGGACACCTGGCGCCTCGAACAGCACGCATTGGAAGGGGCCTCTCAAGTTTTCGCCTGACTTGCGCAGTGTCCACAAGAGCAAGAACGCAGCTGAGCACAGGAGGGCGTGCAGGCAGCTACGGAGCTCGGACATGCAGGAGCGAGGTGCGGACGACGCTGCAGAGCCCCAGGAGAGCAGAGCACGAACAACGAGGGCACCGAAACTGCAAGTGGCCGGCTTGTCGCCGTTGTCAGCCTCTGGAGGCCGGCCTCGGGCTCCCAGGGGCCGTCAAGGAAAACAGCCCAGAAGAGCTCGGCGCGGAGCCCCTGTGGCGACGGGGCGCTCTGTGGCGACGGGGCGCTCTGTGGCGGCTCCCCCACACGTAGTGCTCAAGACCCGCGCTTTTGCCATATCGGGATGATCCTGGGACTCTGAGAGGAAAGGGGGGTCGGGAGGGCTCGAGATAGGGGCACGAAACATGGCATAAACATAAAAACTCGGAGGTCCGCGCGGATATCTTGGATCGGCGCTGAGGCCCCCTGGCGGCGCATCCGGCGCCGCCCCTGGCGAGCTCCGCGCGTCAGGGAGGGGGCCCCAGCGCGGATCCAAAAAATCCGCGGAGACCTCAGAGTTTTCATGTTTATCCCATTTTTCGTTTCCCATACGAGAGAGCAGTTCCCCCGAGAGGTCCCACGATCTGGGCGCGAACTGGCCAGTGCAACACTCCCTGGCGGCCCCCCCTGATTAGCACAAATGCGATGGCTGCCGCATCGCGGTGATCACGGGGCCCAGAACGGAGAGGAATCGGGGGTGCCAAAGCCAGCGAACCACTGGAGGCCTCCCCGCAAGCCGATAGAGGCGAAGGCGACCCCCCGTCGACGGCTCTCTCTCCTCCTCGGGGTGCCCGCGCGCGCATTACCTGCTTGATCGAAGAGCCCCACGGGGCTCTCAAGCGTGAGGCCCCCCGGGGCCGCCGAGCGAGCGAGCCGCCCGAGGCCTCCCCACCATCCGCGCAGTCTGGGCCCGAACGGGCAGGTGTCCCCCCTCCCCTGGCGGCTCCCCCTCGGGGTGCCCACGTGCCACGCCTGCCTTTCCGGCACGAGCTGCATGGGCACGGAGAGAACAGGCACGATGCCCAGCAGCAGTCCCTGGGCATTCCGAACAGGACTCGCTGCCCGCGCCGCCGCGGCCTGTGCCCATGAGAGACAGAAGGCCGCCTGCCCCACAGCGGCCGCTGTTGCTTTGGAACCACAGGTGCTGCTGGGCATCGTACCCACAGTGTCCCGTGCCCACTTTTGGCGTCCAAAGCTTTGCCGCTGTGAGTATGGGGCTCTCGAGCGAGGGCCACCAGGACAGCAGACCCCCACCATCTGGGCGCACGCGGGCGCGTGCCCCCTTCCCTGGAGGCTCCCCCTGCGGTGCCCAAGTGCCACGCCTGCTATATCGCGGTGATCCTGGGGCTCCCAAGAAGAGACCAGCCAGAAGCGCTGAAACAGGCGAACCGTTTGAGACATCGCCTCGCAATGTGTTATACACGCGTCTCGCACTGCAGACACGCCAGGTTTCTAAGGCCACGGCCCTGCCCTCCTGGTCTTAGGTAGGCCCCGACGGTGTCCGCAGCGGTGGTCGTATCGTACCGTTACGACATGCGCGCGGACGGGGGAATGAAACCTTGCCGTTCGGCTTCCCCTTGGGATGCCCAAGTCCCATGCCTGCTACATGTGAGTGATCGTGAGTGCGCATGAGTCTGAAGATCGAGTATGGGTGGGTCTGAATATGGGTGAGAACGTGGGTAGGTCTGGGTGCGTGTGTGTGTGTGTGTGTGGGTATGCGTTAGTCTGAGCGTGGATGAACATATCGTCTGACTTGGATGAGCATGACTGGGTAGGGGTAAGAGTGGTCTGTGTAAGAGTGAGTCGAAGTATGAGCGAGTCTGAGTATCATTGTATCTGAGTAGCTGAGTCCGAGTATCAGTGGAATTGAGTGCGAGTGAGTCTGAGTGTTAGTGGATACGAGTGTAAGCAAGTATGAGTGTAAGCGAGTCCGAGTGTGTGTATGAGTCTAAACATGTGTGACTAAGGAGACGGAGGAGGGAGGAGGCGGGAAGGAAGGCGAGGGAATGGGAGGCGAAAGCAGCACGAAGTTAATAAGATCCCCACACGCAGGATACATGGATGATAAGAAGAAGCTCCCCCCGGGGAAGGGGTCAAAAGTGGTCCGGGGCTAACGCATGTTTTATGTAAAAACGAGCATCCGATGTCTGAGGAGGAAGGGCGAGGAGCCCCCGCAACCATATGTCGCTGTGAGTCCGCAGTCGTGATTATCGTCTTCGGTGGGGCTCCCCATGCAGCAACGACACCTGCGAGGGGTGTGCCAGAATGAGTGCGCCGGGCGAATGCGGGCGCTACTTCGGGGCCTTCGGTGGGGCTCCCAATGGGGGCCACGACACGTGTGAGGGGTGTGCCGAAATGGGTGCGGCGGGCGAATGCGGGTGCTGCCTTTTGGGCCTGCGGTGGGACTCCCCAGCCACGACAACGTGTAAGGGGTGTGCCGAAATGGGTGCGGCGGACGCATGTGGGCGCTGCCTTCCGGGCCTGCGGTGGGGCTCCCAATGGAGGCCACGATACATGTGAAGGTTGTGCAAGGGTTGGGGGGAGGGAGGACCAGAGGCAAGGATGGGGGGGCGGGAGGAGGGAAGGAGGAGGAGAGGTGAGGAACGAGGGGCGCTGTCTCGTCAAAACGAGGACCCAACACCGCTGGATCAGGGCTCCTTTCGACTCCTCCGATTCGGCTCGATTCGAGTTCGAGGGGTTCCGATTCCGATTCGATTCGACTTGGGATTCCGACTTGGGTTCCGAGTTCTCAATGAAGGCCGACTATGCTGCCGATTTCCGCCGATTCGACTTCTCCCGACTCGGCTGCCGATTTACGCCGATCCGATGCATTTCGATTGCCGATCCGACTTCTCGATTCGATTCTGGGCTCTGCTGGCTGGATGGTTTGGAAAAAGACGCGGGCAGAGGACGGGATGGCGGAGAAGGGAGGGAAACGAGAAGAAAGGAGAGGAGCAACCAGGTAATCAGGAGGGAGCGGAGGGGGAAGAGGGGCGGAGGAGGAGGCAGAAGGACGGAGGAGGAGGAGGAGGAGGAGGAGGGGCGTGAAGGGAAGAGTCAACCCATCGTTTCTTCCTTGGTGTTGCTCGTGGTACTACGGCGCGTGTGCAGCGCCCGGATGAAGCACCGCAGCGCGACGCCGCTCGCCATTTGGGTGGTGCGCCAGCTCTTGGCTGGCCCTGGAAACGCCGGGGCCAGTTCTTTGCCGTTGCCGCTTTTCCGGTTCGTTGCCGGTTCCGACGCCGTTTTTGTTCCCGGGTCCGTCGCCGTTGTTTTGCCGGCCTTGGTTACGGTTCCAATCCCTGAGCCGTTTGTTTGTCGTTTCTGGTCGCCGTGTTTTTACCGCTTCTATTTTCAAGAGACACCCTTCTCGGACACAGTGAAGAAACGGCCCTATCTCTGCCTCTTCGCAATCTTATCCTACGAACCTGGACGCATGGAACAGTGAAGAAACGGCCCCATCTCTTCCTCTTCGCAATCTTATCCTACGAACCTGGACGCATAGATGGTTTATACGGCCCGCAGAATGCACGAACCTATCGGATCTTCCCCCTTTCCCCCACTGCTGCTGTTTTCAGGGTCGCCCAGCGGCCCGAGAAGGGCCACGCACGCTGCGAAATGTGGGTTCTCGAGCCTCGGCCACCTCCCCCCCCCCTCTCTCCCCCCTCTCCCCGAGGCGAGCATCGCGCCCAAGGAGACCGCGGATTTCCGAACCGTCCTCAGGTCGGACGTGACCCCGCCCTCGGTGAGGGGTTCGGGCAGGAGGTATCCGAGGGAGGCTCTCGCCGCGCCGCGCCCGCGCACGTCTTCCAGGGGGGAGCGGGGACTACGACCAAGTAAAACAAATCTGCATACGTAAACTTTACGCTGTCGGAGGTTCGCGCGGATTTCTTGGATCGGCGCGAGGAGTGGGAGAAGGAGAGGGAGGAGGAGGAGGAGGAGGAGGAGGAGGAGGAGGAGGAGGAGAAGGAGGAAAGGGAAGAGGAGGAGGACGAGGAGGAGGAAGACGAGGAGGAGGAAGACGAGGAGGAAAGGGAGGAGGAGGAGGAGGAGGAGGAGGAGGAGGAGGAGGAGGAGGAGGAGGAGGGGGCCTCTGCTGGACTCTGCTGATCGCCGCACACGCGGCAGTCCACTTGTCAGCAGCCCCTGAGGTCAAAGGAGGAACACGAGCCTCCGCGACCCCAGGGCTCCAGCCGCAGGAGGAACACGAGCCTCCGCGACTGCGAAACCTGCAGCCCCGGGGGCCGCAGGAGGAACACGAGCCTCCGCGCCCCCAGAGCAACCGCCGCAGGAGGAGCACGAGCCTCCGCGACAGCACCGACCGACGTGCCGCAGGAGGGCACGAGCCTCCGCGGCACTCAAAATTCGGCCGCAAAGTCGGGGGAGAGGCCGAGATTCACCATGACCTCCCGCTGCTCGGTCTCGCCCAGAGCCAAGTACGCATCGGTCATCTCACCAACGGCGTCGTCACGCTCGACCTCCTCACGGGCCAGGGCGGCCTTGGCAAACTCAACTCTCAAGGCCGCTTGGCTCAAGACGGCGTGCTTCCTGGCGCACTCGGCCATGGCGTCCTCCCTGCCGCTGGTGCCCCCCCGTCGTCACCACCTTCTGCACCTTCTCTTTCTCAGCGTCCTCAAGCTCCGTGCCAGAGGTGTGCACCTGCATCTTGACGTCCGCCACGACCTTCTGGAGCTTGATCTCCAGCTCGTGGAGCTTCCCCTCCACCGCCTGCATGCGGCTGCCGTCGAGCTTCTTCTGCGGCGTGTGCTTGATCTCGCCCTGGGCCTCCTGCACCACGCCGCTGGACTGGGGCAGCCCCAGCGCGCTCACGACCTGCTCGGCGAGCGTGCCGTCGGGATGGGCGACAGCCCTGCGCCCCTTGTTGCAGGCCTCCACCCTGCGCGCCAAGCCCTTCTGGCCCCGCTGGACCAGTTCCTGCTGGATGACCTGCGCGGTCGGCTTGGAGCCCTCTTCACAGTCCAAGGCACGGCCAGCCAAGGTACACGGCTCCTCGATTTTCTCCAGCATGTAGGAGTCCGTCTTGTGGTCGCTTGCCTCGGCTACCGCCGCCGTCGCTGCTTCCGCAACCGCCACTTGCAGAAGTCGCTCCGTCAAGGCTCTGCGGGTCGCCAGACCAGCCACCGCACGGAGCACCGCCGAAACCTTCTCCTCCACTTGCGCCATGCCAGGGCGAAGGGACAGCGCGTCGCGCAGGGGAAACCGAGCCAAGAGCGAAAATAGTTTGTGCCAATATGGCTACGGAGGAGGAGGAGGAGGAGGGGGAGGAGGAAGTCCAGGAGGAGCAGGGAATAGGATATTGAGCGTTAGGGAGGCAGGAAGAATGGGAGGAGGAGACGAGACGAGACGAGCCCATGGAATCCACATCAACCAGCCTGAAGAGCTGCCCTGCCTGTGATTCGGGGAATGGGCAACGTCGACTCTTACGAAACTCGACAACGTGAAATCTGTCGCCTGCACTCCTCGAGCGAGCCAGTGGCCTGTGGGCACCTCCGAGGCACGCAACCCCAGACGAGGGTCGACCCGAGCGGCGTGGGAGAGACAGCTTCTGGCAAGCGTCGTTGTTGCTGGCTCTCGCTCATCGGTCGCCCCCCCGACGGCCGATCGCCGCCCTCCCCCTCTCACGGCCAGAACCTCTGCGAGGCAGAAGTATAAAGTAGGAACACTAGGCACACAACATCGGTGTGTGCATAGTTATGGTGGCATGCCACGCTCACCTGACGCTGCTCCCGAAACCGAGTCTGACGATGTGACTGACCCCTTCTGGCTACCTGGAAAGTGAAGCGCTCAGGTGTGCCCCATCTCATCTGGCGTTCACGGATCTGGATATAATTCCCAACCATCTTGTGGTGTTGGGTCCTCGTTTTGAAGAGACGGTGCCCCGCGTCTCTTCTCATTCCTTCCTTCCTCTTCCTCCGCCTCCTCCCCCCTCCCCCTCCGCGTCAGCCACACCCCTTACACGTTTCGCGGCCCCATAGGGAGCTCCACCGAGGGCCCCCGTGGTTGCGTTCGCATGGCGGCACCGCAATCATTTCGGCACACCCTTCACACGCTTCGTGGCCCCATAGGGAGCTCCACCGAGGGCCACCGTGGCTGCGTTCGCATGGCGGCACCGCACCCATTTCGGCACACCCCTCACACGTTTCGTGGCCCCATAGGGAGCTCTACCGAAGGTCCCACTGGCTGCGTTCGCATGGCGGCACCGCGCCCATTTCGGCACACCCCTCACACGCTTCGTGGCCCCGTAGAGAGCTCCACCGAGGGCCCCAGTGGCTGCGTTCGCATGGCGGCACCGCACCCATTTCGGCACACCCCTCACACGCTTCGTGGCCCCATAGGGAGCTCCACGGAGGGCCCCAGTGGCTGCGTTCGCATGGCGGCACCGCGCCCATGTCGGCACACCCCTCACACGTTTCGTGGCCCCATAGGGAGCTCCACCGAAGGCTCCAGTGGCTGCGTTCGCATGGCGGCACCGCGCCCATTTCGGCACCCCTCACACGCTTCGTGGCCCCATGGGGGGCTCCACCGAAGGCTCCAGTGGTTGCGTCCGCATGGCGGCACCGCGCCCATTTCGGCACACCCCTCACACGCTTCGTGGCCCCATAGGGAGCTCCACCGAGGGCCCCAGTGGCTGCGTTCGCATGGCGGCACCGCACTCATTTCGGCACACTCTCACACGCTTCGTGGCACCATAGGGAGCTCCACCGAGCGCCCCAGTGGCTGCGTTCGCATGGCGGCACCGCACCCATTTCGGCACACCCCTTACACGCTTCGTGGCCCCATAGCGAGCTCCGCCGAGGGCCCCAGTGGCTGCGATCGCATGGCGGCACCGCACCCATTTCGGCACACCCCTCACACGTTTCGTGGCCCCATAGGGAGCTCCACCGAGGGCCTCAATGGCTGCGTTCGCATGGCGGCACCGCACCCATTTCGGCACACCCCTCACACGTTTCGTGGCCCCATACGGAGCTCCACCGAGGGCTCCAGTGGCTGCGTTCGCATGGCGGCACCGCGCCCATTTCGGCACACCCCTCACACGTTTCGTGGCCCCATAGGGAGCTCCACCGAGGGCCCCCGTGGCTGCGTTCGCATGGCGGCACCGCACCCATTTCGGCACACCCCTCACACGTTTCGTGGCCCCATAAGGAGCTCTACCGAGGGCCCAGTGGCTGCGTTCGCATGGCGGCACCGCACCCATTTCGGTACACCCCTCACACGCTTCGTGGCCCCATAGGGGCTCTACCGAAGGGCCCCACTGGCTGCGTTCGCATGGCGGCACCGCGCCCATTTCGGCACACCCCTCACACGCTTCGTGGCCCCATAGGGAGCCCCACCGAGGGCTCCAATGGCTGCGTTCGCATGGCGGCACCGCGCCCATTTCGGCACACCCCTCACCCGGCTCGTGGCCCCATAGGGAGCTCAACCGAGGGCCCCAGTGGCTGCGTTCGCATTGCGGCACCGCGCCCATTTCGGGACACCCCTCACACGTTTCGTGGCCTCATAGGGAGCTCCGCCGAGGGCTCCAATGTCTGCGTTCGCATGGCGGCACCGCGCCCATTTCGGCACACCCCTCACACGTTTCGTGGCCCCATAAGGAGCTCCACCGAGGGCTCCAGTGGCTGCGTTCGCATGGCGGCACCGCGCCCATTGCGGCACACCCCTCACACGTTTCGTGGTCCCATAGGGAGCTCCACCGAGGGCCCCAGTGGCTGCGTCTGCATGGCGGCACCGCGCCCATTTCGGCACACCCCTCACACGTTTCGTGGCCCCATAAGGAGCTCCACCGAAGGCCCCAGTCGCTGCGTTCGCATGGCGGCACCGCACCCATTTCGGCACACCTCTCACACGTTTCGTGGTCCCTTAGGGAGTTCCCTCTCATTCGCTCAACCTGCTTTGCGGTACTCGCAACTGCATATGGGTGGGTCCATCGCCAGGATTTTTTTTTTGTTTTTTGTTTTAGAATCTTATTTCATGTGCATCATTTTTGATTTTTGTTATGTTTGTTTTGTGATTTTCTTGTCCCTCGAATTCGGCCTCCCCAGAGATCCGACGCTCCAACAAAAATTGGGGCAGGCGGTTTTTGGCCGTTTTCTGCCCCTGGGGGCCCTCGCCGGGGCTCGGGAATGTCAGCAAAACGACTCAGGACGAACAACTGGCCTGGTGAAGTGGTCCGGACCTTCGGGGCCCACGCATCGAAAAAAGATCGGAGCAGCCAGATGTCTGGGTCTCTGGGGCCCGTCCTTCGGCCCCGGGGGCGTCGAAGACGGATCCAGGGCGGAAAAGTCCACCCCTCGGTAAGTCTGCTGGACCCTTGGGGCCGTGCAGGGAAACCCTCCGGTCGTCGGATGTCTGGCGCCCTCGCTTCGGATGCTTTTTTGGGGAGCTCCTGGAGGTCCTCGCCGGCACGTCAGAGGCGCGGCTCTCGGAGCAGTGGCCAGCAAGGCGCGCCGAAGGGGTCGGGGGCGGTTTCGGGAGCGGGCCTTGGTCGGTGGGGCGACGACGGCGGCGGCGGCGGCGACGATGTGGTCAAGCAGGGCGCTGTGCGAGCCCAGCTCCCTGGGTGGTCCATAAGCGAGGTGTTGGCCAGGGGCGCGCGCTGTGCGAAGGCGCCCAAAGACCGCACTTCGGCTGCTTTCTTCGGTTGCCGAGCGTGCTCTGGAGCTTAGGGCAGAACGGGCTCCACTCCAGGAGGCCATGGCCAATCCCACACACCAAGCCCCCCAAAATTCCGAAATGAATTTCAACCGTGGGATTCTTGGACCTGGTCCCGGGTGCCCGAGCTCATGAAAAACATTCCCGTGTTCAAA